CTGTGCACACAATCACTCTTCATTTTAAAAGAATCTTAAATTCAAATTCTTTTCTTTTTCTTTTAAGAGCAATCCTGAGAGAGAAGGAAGGAAGGAAGGCACAATGCAAACTTTCTTGAACTATTCCCATCAATGAGCTTCATCAGTATTCTGAATGGACCATTTCTAAGGAAGATAAGTATAAACCGGTGATGTCTCTTCAGAGTCCTGAATGAAATCTGTATACATAGAATTTAGTCCAAATTTATTTCTTACCTGGGATTTGACTCTACTTCAAACAATGAAAACAAACCATAACCTTCACTCCCTTCCCCCCCATTTTCCTATTTTTAGGATTTTCCTTCTCTTCCTCAGACCTTAGTTTCCTTTCACCAACCCTAACAGCCAAAAGGTAGTGAAAAAGAAAGAGTCAAGCAGAAATCAATATGCTTCTCCTTGAATAGTTCTAACACCAGCTGATCCAGGGAGAAAGCTCTATCATTTTCAGATTCTCTCAACTGTTCAGTCAACAGCTTCTATGCTGAAGTATAGAAGAATGTCAACTGTTGCTAATTACAATTTAAATAAGCATTTTATTCATATTACAGTATTACAAGACTCTACATTTCACTATATCTATGTTAGCCTTGCCGCTTAACAAGTCAAATGCAGAAAAAAGGTGAAATGTTGGCTCTACTGTCAATTAGAATTTTGCCACTGCCTTTCACCCATTTACATGATGTCTGAATCTGGTCTGCCATCGTCATACCATGAATTCATTTGGAAGATGGGAGGTTTTACTGTGGGGGCATTTTCCTCCTTTTTTGGATCTTACTTCGGGTATGGTATACCGTGTTTTGGCCTTTATTTTAATTAGAACTGGTTGGACGCATTTTTTGAAAGTCCAATTTTTTGCCAAAAATATAGGGAAAAAAAATCAGCAAAAGTTTTCATCTCTGTTTTCCTTGGCTTTTGGCCAACTCTTATATAATTATTTTTTCATTGTTTGCCTTCCCTATCACAAAAGCTGAGGAAATAAAATAAGCTAGGAATTTTACTCTGCTTCTCTTGAGGCAAATCTGACACTTTGAATGTGAATGGGAAGAAGATCCTTTGGTTCACTCTCGGAGTTTCTGTGAAGAAACTACACTGATGGCAATCACAGCACAACAGGAAACTTTCTGTGCTTAGAAAAAACATTTAGGTACCAAAGTCTGGTTGATCTTCCACACAATTCAGCCCAACTGGCTCTCAGATTGATCAGGTTTTGGGTTCAATTAGATTTTGCTGTTGCTGATTTAATTCAGCCCTTTGATTTCAGCCTGTATAATACAGAAATCAAACTCTGCTTGTATTAGCTATCTCTTTATTCCTCTCTCCCCTTCCTCCCTTCTGCCCCCCTTCCATCCCCGCATCTCTCCCTAGCAAGGAGAACAAAGTAGATAGACATGGTAAGATGATTTCTGAAGGTACATTCCAGGTACAAGGCGCTAAAGTAATAACTCTAACCATATGCTGATCTATAGTATTAGACCAAGTCAGTTTTAAAAGTCAAAGAAAAGTATTAGGTTAAATTGCTTTTAAAATATGGATTTAGCACTGAAACTGATGGCTAGAACACAGGGGCTGTCTTTACAATGCATGCAAGTTTATAACACTATATAGCAATCGCAAGAAAAAGAAAATTTTGAGATATTATATTTAAGAACATATATCAAAATCTGTAAAATGTTGGACTACAACTTATTAAAGATCATGGAATTTCACAGCTTTAACATATATTTGTATATTAACAATTCATAATAGCAATACATGTTTTTAGAGTCATATGTATTTCCAGCTGCACCAGATGAAAATTTTTCAAGAAAAACAATGTTTGTTTTTAAAAAATGTAATTATTTTTCAAAATAATTCAGGGTATAATCTACACTGCAGAATTTTTTTTTTTTTTGGAAAAACAGTCATTTTTCCGAAAAAACTTCACTTATGTCCACACTGCAATCGCGTTCTTTCAAAAAAAAATCAAAAGAACTGAAGGTTTTTTTTGACATTAGTAAACCTCTTTCTACAAGGAAGAAGCCGTTTTCCAAAAGAGCTCTTTTGGAATAAGGCGTGGGTGGACAGAGAAGAAGGAGTTCTTTCGAAAGAAGAGGAAAGAGGAAAAAGCACAGATGTCTTGGTGGCCACTCCATCTATAGTAATCACAGCTTAAATGTGTCCATTCAGTGTGGACACTATCTTTCAAAAAAGCAGATTGCTTTTTTGATGCACTTTGGCAGGGTAGACGCTCTCTTTCAGAAGAAGTTTTTCCAGAAAATCTTTCAGAAAAGCTTCTTCCAAAAGAAGCCTGCAGTCTAGACATAGCCCCAGTCTCTTATGACCAAAATGTGCTTCGTTTTCCCCTCACCTTTTATCCTTTTTAAACCCCCCTTTAAAGTGGCACACTAGGAATCAGAGGAGGGATAAAAGAAAATGGGGAAAATGAGAAATGAGGAAAACCTGAAAATATTTGGTTTAAAAATTGTGAAAATATTTGAAAAATCTGCTTTATAAACAAAAAATATCCAAATGTCTGAAAATTGGTGTTTTTGTCTGTCCGTTTTTTGATCAGCTCTATTTTCACCAGGAATTGCACCAGTTTATTTATGTGCCTACTATGTTAGTCATGGCCAAAATGATTTCCATTAATAGTTTCAAGAAATGTTGGGGATTCTTCTGGGTGAAACATATTTTGTATAAAAATAAAGTATAATTAGATTAGGAAAAAAATGTTATGTTTTTTCTATAAAATAGGATTTCATACATGTTTCATGCTACAGTCTATAAATATTAAATGTTGATTATGTTTATCTTACTAAACATGTTTTGATCTTAATGAACATGTTTTGATTGAGTTCAAAGAACTATATATGTAACAATGAGTTTTACAATTATGCTATAAAACATGCCCCTTAGGAATAAATACTACTATTAGTATATTACATTATTTGCACGGATTAGTTATGACAAAATTTCTGAATTATGAAAACGGAATGATAATGTGTTTAAAAGGCTATGTTATGAAATGCGCAAAGCAAACACGAGTCATATTTTCAGAGATTTCTTGCTCAATTTATGTGAAAATCCAAGAGAGATGATGCTTAAATGTAGAAAGATTACCTTTACTAGTTGTATGTTTCTGTTTTATTTTTTCCAATCACTCCTGTTGCTGTACCCATGTATAAAGTCCCAAAAGATGTAGTGTAATTTAAGTGCTTTGTACTGCAAAATAAACTTTGCTGAACAGTGGTTACAAGAGATGTTCAGGATCAAAACCATAAAAAAAAAGTACAAAACATTCCAGTGATTTTTTTTTATTTACTTGGTTATTGAGGAGTTCGTGATGACTTCTTTTCCTTTTGTTACATCTGAACAGTTTGATAGATTACTGTGACAAGGTTACCCTAAAATTGATAAAAGGTTTGATAGTGTCGGTACATTTGTCAAAATGTCTAACATCACTCATAATGGAGTCTGCACTGCGAGCATCAATGGCACCCCAGTCTGTTATTTTCTATTCAGTGTGCAGTGCACACCACATAAAAAGAAAATGTATAAAAGTCAGGAGGATTAGCTAAAGCAGCTGCTCATTTTACCAAGCACAAAATCTCATGCCTTGTCCTGTTTTTCACTAAAATACAATCTGCTTTTATAATCACTCACCAAAATGCAATTAAAAGAATGTTGACCGTAGTTTAAAGAGCGAGCATCTTACTAGAGTATAATTGGAAATGGAAATATTGTACAATGAGAAACTTAGTTGCAAGCATTTTCAACATTCCATTGACTACTACAAAAGAAAAAAAATGTGTTTTAAGCGCTTTCTTCCTGAGACCTGCCAAGAATCACAAAGTGTCTATCAAAGTATTTCTGATCAAATTTAGGAAGGGCAGAGATGTATATCACATTAAATTAAAACATATATAAATATTATCTAACATGCATCTCAAAGCAGAAGCAATTTCAGTTCAAATTCTAGGTTTATGATCAGATTATCACTTTCTACCTGATATGCTAATTTGTAATGGAAAATCTTAAATCTTAAAGGTGCCATTCAACTTTGGGGAGAAAAAAAACCCTAAATATAGTATTTCCATACTTGTCTTTATTATTTCGATCATTCTCATATATGTTCTCATTCTACAACAAAAAATATATTTTGCTTATTTCCATCCCTAAATATTCAATATGGGATTTGAAAGTCAAGCTAGGTTATTACATTTTGTGCATCGCCACCAGTAACAAAGATTCAGCAAATCAAAATATACCCTTAACTATACCTATATTATCCATTATAATCAACTGATTTGCTTAGGTAATTCCCTTGCGGTTTGAGGCACCAGGAGGAACAAAATTTAGCTATGTGGCCTCTCAGTGTTAACAGAAATAAAAATCAATAAAAACCTGTGTGTCAGAACTGTGGGCAAAATGACTCCAAATATATGCAGAGATCTGTTGAATAAGAGGGTAACATTTTTTACACAGGAATCAAAAGAGGTGACAAATTATAAATATGGGAACAACCTCTGTTTTGTTGTGTTTTGTGCCATGAATCGCAATTCTTCGACTATAAAATCTCTCAATAGGTGTTTTCTTATGATGTCAATTAATGAAAAAGAAAAAGAAAGTGAAAAAGAAAGAAAAATTGACAAAGAAATCCAGTCTCATATATAGCCATAAAGACCCACTCTCTCTCTCTCTCCCCAGAATTGGATGTCAGTAGATTTTGAACCCTATGTCTTCAGATCTCCAAGCATAGTCATCAGACATTTTAGCTAAGGCAGTCACTGTTATCCTTTATGTTCATCACTCATTACCAGGTATATCATGAATTTAAATTCTTGTACTGAAAATATAAAATCTGTCTATCTAATCTATACACAGACAAACTTAAAGTCTGGGTTGGAAATGTGTCCCTATAAATACAATGGTCAAATGTATTTTTTTAACTGGAGGACATGAAATATTTTAATGACACTTACGGCTGACATAGCTTGATGAGATCTTGGTCAGTGGTGCCAGGTGGAAGGCCTCGAATGTACAGATTGGTTTTACTCAACTGTTCCCCACTGCTGTTGTTGCTGCTGTTGTTGCTGCTGTTTGTGCTGGGGCTGGGAGGAGCCATGGGGTGGGGAGCTGGTGCATAGGACTGCTGAAAATGAAAACAAAAAATCTGTTACTAGAAAATAAACTCATCACTGGCTGGTGTGTTTTGGGGGAGTGGCTAGGAATCAAGTCATGGTAGTCGTCTCCCCACCCCACCCCGGCTTGGTTCCCCCTCCCCC